TTCTAATTAATAATAGTACAGAGCTTCCACCTTTCCAGTAGATGGCTCTGTGTGTCAGAGAGAACTAGCCTGTGTCTGGCTTTTCTGGGCTGGGGGAGTATCCTGGAGTGGGGTGTCACTGGCGATTATGGTCTATGGGGCCATGGCTCATGTCTGTGGCACCACAGATAGCCCTTCTCACTGGATTTCACTGCACTCTGTGCACTGGGCTTTCCCTGCAGCTTTATGGCAATTTCCAGCTCAGTTTCACTACATCCTTTTGATCCCCATATCCACCCAATCCCAAGGCAAGTGAGGTTAGTGAGTCGCTCCTTTCTGGAGACCCTCACTGGAGGCCCTGTCCACCTGGTGAACCCCAGAACCCTTGCAGGCATCTCCCTGTGGCTAGATCCATAGTAAGCGTCTCTCTGGATGTGGGTTTAAGCCCAGGTGTCCGCCCCTGAGGACACCTCACACATTTTGTTGCTTGAAGTTGAATTTCCTCCTCATATCTTCTGTCCTGCACAGCCTCCAATATTCAGGAAGTGCTCTGATTGACCCCAATTCATGGGATCCCCCAAGTCCAGTGCCTGTGTAGACTACTCTAAATTATTATCTGACTAGCAAACCAGGGACCCTCTGATGTCACATTTCCCGTATCCTCTTCACCGTATTGTATTCACTGTTGGTTTATGATATATGGACTTTATTATATTATATTGAGGTATATTATTTCTATTCTCATCTCATTTAGAGTTTTTATCATAAATGGTTATTGAATCTTACCAAATGCTCTCTCTGCATCCATTGATATTTTCATCATTTTTATCTTTACTTCTGTTGATAACACCCTGTCATAATAATTGATTTATGTACATTAAACCACCCTTGCATCCCTGGGAATCCACTTGATTGTAGTGTATGATCCTTGTGATATACTGTTGAATATTATTTGCTAGTATTTTGTTGAAAATTTTTACATCAATGTTCATCAAGGATATTGTTCTGTAATTTTCTTCTGCTGTCTTTGTCTGGTTTCATTGTTAAGGAACTGTTGACATCATGAAATGTATTAGAGAGTATTCCTTCTTAATATTTTATTTTATTTTTAGAAATATTTCTTTTTTTTAAGATTTATTTATACAAGCACTGGGGTATAGGCCAAAGGCACAGGAGGGTGAGAGGGTTCACCAGAGACAGAGCAGGGAGTAAAACAGGCAGAATGACTGAAGTACACTGCTGAGGGGAGCAGCAGCGAAACAGGAAAGGTCTGCCGTGCCATGTGGGAATCTCCCTGGCTGGCCAGGAATCGAACCTGTGCTGCAGAGGCTGTGGGCAGTTTCACAGTGCTATGCTCAACCCGCTGTGCCACCAGAGAGGCCCCTCCTTAATATTTTAAAAAACAATTTGAGCAGAATGGGGATTGGTTCTTTAAAATTTTGATAAAATCTATTTGTAAATTTATCTGGTCCTTGGCATTGGTTTTTCAGAAGGTTGGTTTGTTTGTTTATTTGTTTGTTTTTTAGAAGAATTGGGATATAGTCCAGAAGTGCAGGGAGTGAGATGATTCACCAGAGACAGAGTGGGGAGCAGCAGGCCAGACAGGAGAGGTCTGCTGCACCCTATGTGGGTAGCTCCCTGGCTCAGATCACACGCAGGCAATAATAATGATAAGGCAGATACCTAATCTCTAGGCCCCCCAGAGGCCCTTTGCAAAAGGTTTTTTTTTTTTTTTTAAAGACTTTTTTTTTTTTAAGATTCATTTTTATTTATTTATACAAGCACTGGGTACAGTCAGAAGCGCGGGAGGGTGAGAGAATTCACCAGAGCCAGAGCAGGGAGCAGAGCAGGCAGACTGAAGTACACTGCTGAGGGGAGCAGCGGGCAGCAGGAGAGATCTGCGCGCCATGTGGGACCCTCCTCCGGTGGCCGGAGAGCAGCCGGGGATGGAACCAGAGCTGCAGAGGCTGTGGGCAGCTTCGCAACCCAGCACTCAACTGCTGTGCCACCGGGGAGGCCCTCAGAAGGTTTTTTATTAATATTTTAGGTCATCTATTTCTTCCTTGGTTAGTCTTCATAGATTGTGTTGACTTAGAGATTTATCCAATTCTTCAATGTTGTTGAATCTTTTGGTATGTTGCAGTTCATATAGTCTTTTGTAGTTCTGTGTTATCTGTAGTGTTTTAATCTCTTCCACTTGTGATTCTGTTTATTAAAGTTTTCTCTCTCCCTCTTTTTTTGTAGCCTAGCTAGGGGTTTATCTGTTTTGTTTATTGTTCAGTATATACTAACCAACTCTTAGTTTCATTGATTTTTTTAATAGACATTTTGAACTCTGTCTCACTTATTTTGCTCTTATTTTTATTTCCTTCCCTTGACTAACTTTAGGTCTTACTTGTTTCTTTTTCAGGTTGCTTTAGATATGATATTAAGTTGTTTATTTGGGATTTTTTTTTTTTTTTGCTTTATAATGTGGACCTGTATTTTAATTATCTTCCTGATTAAATTTTTTTTTGCTGCATCCCATATTTCCTAGTAACTTGTATCATTTTCATGATCTCAGCATGTTCTTTAATTTCTGCTTTGATTTCCTCCTTTATCCAATTGCTGTTAAGCAGCATGTTGTTTATTCCCCATTAGGCATAGTTTATTTTTTTCTTATAGCTGATTTCTAATTTTATGGTGCTCTATCAGAAAATGTACTAGGTATAATTTTGGTCTTTGTGGCTTTTTTGACAATTGACTTGTGTCCCAGAATATGGTCTATTCTTGGAAATGTTCCATGTGCACTTGAAAAAATATGTATCTCACTATTTTTGGGTGAAGCATTCTATAGATATCTATGAGACCTATTTGATCTAGCTCCTCATTTAAAGCTGCTTTATCTTTATTTTTACTTTATCTTGGTTCACTGTTGTAATTGGGGTATCAAAAATTCCCAAATTTTAGCAACCTCTCTCTTAAGTCTGTTATTGTCTTATGAATCTCATTGTGCCATCATTTTGGTGCATATTTTGTTGTGCTTATGTTTTTTGTTCATTGTCTGTCTTTTTTAACCTTGTTTCTTTTTTTGAGGGCTTACTATTATGCTTTGTTTAGGTTCCATTTGCATTCTTTTATGTGTTACTTCTATTATTTTTGTTTGAATTCTACTGAGGTTAGTATATAATGGGATATTGATGTCACCCATTGGACCGTCTAGTCTCTGGCTGGTTTTAGTGGACCACATTATTCTTTTCCTCCTTCTCTGCTTCCTTCATATTAAGTGATTTTGGTGTCTGTTGTTTCAATATTAACTGTTCTGTTACTTTATAATAACCCCTGTAGGATTTCTTTCATATATGGCTTGATGTTGATTTTTTTTTTGGTTTTTGCTTTTCAGTGAAGCTCCTTATTCTTCCTTCTATCTTGATTATTAATCTTTCCAGCTCAAATATTCTGGGCTGGAAGGGAAGTCTTTAAATACTTAAAATTTCTCTTTCCATATGTATAATAAAAACATATAATGTTTTTATTAAAAAGTTTGCTGACAGTCTGATTGAAGTTCCCCTATAGGTTACCCCTTTTTCTCAATGTTTTTGATACTCTGTCCTTGTTGGTTCTTAACAGCTTTATTATCATGTGTCTTGGTGTATGTCTATCTGGTATTATTTTGTTTGGAACCCTTTGGACCTCTTAACTTTCACTTCTGGATCATTTCCCAGTTTTAGGTGTTTTTTCTTCAAATAGATTAAAGAAAGTGATTATTCTTTAAATAGGTTTGCAGTATCTTTTTCTTTTTCTTTTTTGGGATGCCTATGATGTATTTGGCTTTTGTTTTTCTTAACATTATCCTAGAGAGCTCTTAACATTGTTTATTTTTAATTCTCTTTTCTCACCTTTATTCTTTTCTTGTGCTTTCAAGTTTGTTGTTTGTCACCATTGCTTGTCGCTATTGGAGCCCTCAGGTGATTTAAATTCCTTCAGTGTTGCCAGAACATTGGTCATGAATTCCCCTTCTGTCGTGCTGTGCAGCTCCACTGAGTCAGGACTCCTTTCAGGGGTTCATATTCTGGCATTTGTACTGTGTTCTTCTGTCTCCTCGTTTTTTATTTTGTATAGGTTTGTTGGAGTAGTCAGGGAACTGATACTATGAAGAGTGTATAGGTGTAAGAGAGGATTGGGTTGGGACATTTAGCATCAAAGATTGGCCGTTGTTTGCAGTATCTCATCCTGAGGTGGGGCTTAGCAAGGTGTTTCAGATAGCTTCAGCCTGGACTTTAGTAGTAGCCTCTTCTAGAAGAGAGTCCAGGTGTACTGAAGTGATTCAGACTGTAGCTTTTCTGTGTTGTGAGGTGCAGAGTCAAGCCAGTATCATTGTTTTGTGCCCCCACCTCTGCTGCTCTCTAGTAACACACTCTCTATTCTGGGTGCCTGCTCTTGCACTCCCTTAACCAGTGCAGTGCCAGGACTTAGGACCCTCGAGGTTGCCATGTCCCTGAGACAACAGCTGTAAGGCGCTCTGCACTGCAGTAGCTCCTGCCTCTTGTTGTTTATACTGTGCCAATGTCACTTTAAACAAATTTCACTTAGAAGTTTTGCTTCCCACTTTCCCTGGGGCTAATGTTCCTATTGTCTGTACTAATAATCAGTTTTCCCTCTGGAGTCCTTGGCTTTGTTTTGCATCAGGTTTCTTATGTATGTCTGGAGGAAGTGAGCCTGTATCCTAACTCTGCCTCCATCTTGCTGGATTCTCTGCTTGGTGAAATCTTGATAGCATTTGCTCACTCAATGCTTCTAAGTTAAATCCTTGAGTCAAATTATAATAAGGCCCTCACTTATATGGCAAAAGTTATTTAGGTGAAACTTGAGCATTATAAATATCCATATATGTACAGTCAACCCTAATACCATAACTCAGACATCTCGCATCCTCCAGGAAATGGGAAAGCTGCTTTCTAAAGTGTTCTGTTATGGCCTGAGCAATGCAACACTTATTCCCTGTTCTGCCATGAAAATTGTTCATCATTTGCTCTTCACAGGTCACTGACAAGGAACGAGAGTTTGCTGCTGGAGTTGCAAAACAGCTCGAATATCAGCAATTGGAAGACGATAAACTTTCTCAGAAATCATCTAGCAGTAAACTCTCTCGATCTCCATTAAAGATTGTTAAAAAGCCTAAAAGCATGCAGTGCAAAGTGGTACTTCTAGATGGATCAGAATATACCTGTGATGTGGAGGTAAGTTTGTTTTTTTAAAAAAAATTTCCCTCTGTTATTGAGAACTGGAGAATATCTGTGTAAAATGTTCAAAATGCCTCTTTTTTCCCTCAGAACTTTGAAAAATTACTCAATCCAGTTTCTAAAAACAAACATTATTTTCCATAATCTATAACAGTTACTAAAAACACTTAAAATATCGCAAAAGGTTATGATCAAAGGGAAAATGTGATCTTTTGTTAATTTTGTTAATTTTATTTTTATATTCCCTATACAATTACAACCCCCTTCTTTTGACCCCAATCCCTCCTTTCCCCACCCACCCCCATAGAGTGTCTCTGGTTCATAGTTGTTTGTTGATTTTGATTTTTCTTTCTTATAGGTATTCTTTTTTCTGGTCCCTTATTTAGATTTTCTAGATTCCTGCTATGAGTGAGACTGAAAATGTGATCTTTTTTTAAAGCAGAAATTTCCAACAGTTTGTATGGTAGGAAAAAAATTGGAGGCCTTAAAAATCAAGTTTTCTTTAATATCATGGCTATGAATTAAGATTTAAATGAATTTTACCTTTGCTATTTAAATAATTTCAAGTATTTATTTGTAAAAACTTCTACATTTCTGTACAGAGGCACAGTGGGATAATTTGAACAGTGATGTCATTTTCTTGTTGAGAAATGAGTAATTTTTAAAATATGTATCGAAGCAAGCATTGCAACTTGGTGTGAAAGGGTATAATATTCTTTGTTCTTTTTATATAGAAAACTTTGCCTCTAAGAGAAGAGGTAGTTGGATCATGTTTGTGAGAGACTTTTAGCAAATTCACATTAATTCAAATTTAGCAAATGAGAATGACACAGCCTTTTTAGAACTACGGAAGATCTCAACTATAGCCCTTGAGTTCTTAAGCTCCTTGGAGAATGACCTCGAGGGAGGAGCAGGTCTGTCTGCATACCCAGGGAAGCTTCTCTCAAGGTGGGGAGGAGCCACTTGCTCTGTTAGCAAGGAGATTCAATTTCAGATTGATTATTTTCCATCAAAGAGCTGTTCCTTTTGCTTCTAGACCCTTCCCTTTGCCGCACTGGGGCATCATCCATGACTCCAAGCCGGCCCCGCCCACCACATGCTAACACGATTCACCTTTCCAGTAGGTGTGCTGAGATCTCTCCCAGGCACCACAGCCAGTGTGGGTTTGTGTTGTCACGCCTTAGTATTCCTCTTTTCTCGAGCTGGTATTAAACCCACCTGATTTCCCAAGTTCTGTGTCCATTCATCTCTGATTTATCTATAATCCCCATATTTACTATATTTTGCATAATGTACCTGGTGTTTGTCTTGGAAGGGAAAATTCAAATCTATTTCATGATAATAATGCCATTTAGGGCTGGTTTACTAAATTATTACAGATTTCAGAAACATTGAAAAATGCATATATTTGAGGCAGCCCTCATCCCAAGACTGTCCACCTGTGTCTATGCAAGCATGTCTATTAACAAACCTGTCCCTGTGAAAAGCAGCAGCAGCAGCAGCACCTCTCCTGCCCACCTGTGTCTATGCAGGTGCCTCTGTTTTTCCCTTTATCCTTTTCTGAATAAGCTCATCCTCTTAACTTTAATATGCATATATATACACACGCACATATTTTGAATATAACAACTTAAGATCAAGGATATTTAGTCTGTCTTATACTAATTTCTAGAAGTTTTGTCTTCTGTAGCTTGACACTTACTGAACAGTTGCTGCAGGGAGTAAAACACGTGTTCCAAGGACCCTATTGTAGGTCTTTCGTGCATTTCTTGCATTTTATTGGCTTTGACTTTAACTTATTTTGTAACCCAAAGTATTTAATTATTGATTTAGATGCCTGTTCTATAAATGAGAAGTTCTAATCATGTATGCCTTATTTTGGTTTTACTGTGAAGCTAAAAGGACTTTGCAACCTTAAGAGAGAAATTGTATTTTTTCAGTGTAGACTTACTTTCTGGAAAAATTGATGTAAGTGAAGAGAAGCCTTTTTTCTTAGCTTTGAGGAGAGTCTTTCTGTTAACTGTGTTTATATAATGGAATAAAAACAGTTACCTGCAGTCCTAGTCATAGCTACCAGAGTTTTCTAAAGAGGAGTCTAGAAGAAAGTTATAGAATTTCACACAGGGGGAATTAATACCTTAGAACTGACCAAGGGACAAGTAGTGATCATTTCATGAAATTTAATTTATCTCCCATGCTTCAAATTCTTTATAGATAATCTGTATATTTGAGTACAGAATTTTTATAGTACAATTAACTTTGGATGCACTTCTGTGCTACTTAAATGCCACTGAACATGTTGAGTGTTGTAGCACTGTTGGTTATTTACTCACGTAATACCAAAGCATTTGTATAAATTTGACAGATTCTAAAGACTTTTTCTGGGAGATAGAAACTTTTGTCAGGGGAATATTTTCAGTTTTACAAAAAACATTGGTAGTAGAAAAAAATGTGTTCATTACTGACACCTGAAATTTTTGTGGAGAAGACGGAGCTGACTTGGTTAAATAAGAAAAGCAGACTGAATCGGTGGCATGGTTTCAAAGCAGTAATGAGATGTAGTTGAAAAAAAGCACATGCAACTTGCATCATTTTTTTACATAGTAACTACAGAACATAGATTTTTGACTAGCAGGTACACAGGGCTAGTAGTTAAACAGAGGTTCGAAAACAGTGCTCTGGGGAAGATTCTTCAGCCTTTGCTCTCTTCTGAATTTTTGTCAACGTCTTAGATGAAGGTATGTGCTCACCACACACACACATACACACACTCACCAGCCTTTCAAAAAGTGATAGCAAGGTTTATGGTAGAGGTTTATTAGTTCTTTGGTGGCTGCAATGGTGTGATAACACAGAAGGGGTGTGAACATCTACTCCTGAATCATATACAATATTGCAAGTAATAAAAATAATACAAGTCAAAAAATTATTTTAGGGACTAGCAGCCAGTTTTTGTTTTTTTTTTTTGTTTTGTTTTGTTTTTTTTGTGGACAGTGTGAACATTAAAGCAAAGTGGCAAGGAATGTTTCAGGTATAGAGAAGTAAAACTTTACTCTGTTTTTAAGGATCAAGTACAAAACAAAAATGGGCAGGGACTTAATAACAGTTAATAACAGTTTGGGTGAAACTCATCTTTGCATTTCAGGTGATCAAAAGCTCAGCAGGAACCAGCTTTGTAGTGTGGCTATCAAACATTTGTATGGTCTCAGGATGTGTGGTGTTTGGCTTCCTGCCCTGAGGGTCCCATCCGAGGGTCTCATCAGATCGCTCATGATCACATGCTCCGAGACAGTCATTCCTAGTGTAAAGACAGACTTGTTTACTATAGCCTATGTGATTTCTTGAAGGTTCCTTAAATTTTCTGAGTCTCAGTTTCCTCAACAGAAAAATGGGGGTGAAATACTTGCATCATTGAGATTAAAACAGATCACTCAACTTTGTCAAATGTGGCATATTCCTGATGAGTGGTAACTGGTGAATAACTCTGACTTGAGTTTATTCAGCATAGAATTATAGCATAGTAAATGATTTGGAAACCTTCTCATAAGAAATGACTATAGAAATAGAATGTGTTGAATGTGGAAAAATTATTTGGAGGAGATAGGATAGCTACTTTCAGTTAATTTGACAGTTTGCCATAACATTATTTGTAAGTGTACAATGCTAAGGTAGAAGTTGAAGGAGGACAGAGTTTTAATAAACAGAAAAGGAATGTTTGAAATTATTGCAGCGGGTCTTGTGATGATATATATATATTCTTTGTTAGAATTGTAGCTGAAGGTGTATGTGCATTTATGAAAACTAGTGTTTGCTTGGATGCAGTTATCACTGGACAAGGGAGAGAATTTAGGGTCCCTCAATCTGATCCCACACTCAAACTATATAGGCAGGTAAGCTGGGAGAAAGCCAGCTGCTGTCTTCGGCTGCACTACCGGGAATCAGAGGAATGGACTGAGGGGGCCCTGTTTGTAGCCCAGGAATTGGCTCTTAGACCCTCTGGTCAATATTGAAGAGGACTCCACTGACCCCAGCAAGGTCAAGCAAGGAGTCAGTGTTTATTGTTTAGCAAAAGAGCAAAGGAAGAGAGTTCCAGGAGGTCTCTCTGGGCATGAGAGAGTCCCCAAGGTGCTGGGACTAAGGATCTGATTACACTTTAGGACTAAGAACAAAAGAATTAAACTTTAAGAACAAAGGAATTAAACTTTATTGGCTGAGAAAGCAAGGAGAGTGGAGTTGGCTAACGGCCACTTGTTGCTAATTGTGAGCACTAATCAGCTATAGCTCAGTAGTTGTGCAGGGCTCACGGCTAGCTCCAAGGTGAACATCTCATGGAAACTGTGCCTGTATCACCACTTTGAACTGGTCTGGTCTCAAGGTCTGTAACTCTTTTCTTCCATAGCAGCCAAGTTGGTAAGTTGTAAAGAAATATCTCAGGAATACTCAGGCTGCGGAAAGTTAGTAATAAAATCTATGGGCCAAAAAATTTATGGCAACAAATGTCCAGACCTAGAGTGATCAGATTTGCTTAATCTATTTACCAGCCCATAGGGACAGCAAAGTGTTTGTCATTGAATCCTGTCCTGTTGTCCCTGGACCCTTCCCATCTTAAAATTTCAGACCATTTAACTTCTCATGCCTCTTCCTATTCCTAGACACATAGAGAAAAGAAATCTGAATTGAAAAAGCACAGTTACTTTCCTAATCCCTGCCCCCAAGACAGGCGGTTGTAAGCAAGTTAAGAATGATGTACAGAGGCCAATAAAGAGTATAAATTTCGGGCCTCCCCTGGTGGCACAGGCAGTTGAGCACAGCGCTGTGGAGCTGGTCGCAGCCTCTGCAGTGCTGGTTTGATCCCAGCCGGCCAGCCGACAAGGTCCCACATGATGGGGGCAGACCTCTCCTGTCTCGCCCGCGGCTCCCCTCAGCAGTGCATTTCGTCAGTCTGCCTGTTCTGTTCCCCGCTCTGCCTCTGGTGAATCCTCTCACCCTCCCGCGCA